GGGGGCAGGCCTAGGGCAGACTGGGGCGTTAGCACCCATCCTGCAGGGGGCAGCCTCCTCTTTGTCTCCCCTATGAGGTGGCAGAATGAATCTCACCTACCTATGGGCACCACAGGGACAATAGGGTCCGTGGGGCTGGGGCTGGCCTTGACAGGGATCGGGGTGGTTGGGCCGTTCACCATGACATGTCCTGGGGAGAGAGTGGGCAGTGGGTCAGGGCAGGCTGGGCACAGCCTGAGTTGAGGGCAGAGAGTTGCTGGGCTTGGGGATGGGGGGATTCCTCCAGGATCCCTGGTCTTCCAGCTGGCCCGTGTCCTCTCCAAAGCCAGGGCCTCCTGGGTCCAGGCAGTGGGGACCTAGTGACGGCCACATGGATGGGAACAGGGGACTCTAAGATCAGGAGCAAGGAAGGTGGGCGGGGAGGGAGGGTGAAGCAAAGGAAGAAGGTGCAGGACCAGACTGAGGACAGAGGCAGGGGCTGCTAGGAAGCTCTCTGGGCAGGGAGCCAGAAGCAAGGCATCTGGGAGGGGAGAGAAGGGCAGTCTCGGGGCCGGACCAAGGTAGTGCAGCAGCTTCTGGGCCCGGTTCTGTGCAGGCCGCAGCTGGAATAGCTCCGGGTTCTCATCGATGAACTGGGTGTCCACGGTGCCTGCCAGGAACTGCTGGTTGTTGAGCACATTCTGCAGGAAGGGGATGTTGGTCTGCAGGACAGAGGCGGGTGGGAGGATGTCACCGTGCAGCACAGACAGGGACAGGAGAGGCTAAAAGTGCCACCCTAGGCTAGCACAGCTGCTCAAGTTCCCCAGGGCACCATGCTGAGGTTGAAGCCTCCCTGCAGAGTGGCGTTCCCCCAACTCCTCACCAGACCCACCCCCGTTCTGGCAAAGTCCCCTAAGCCATGAGGGGCCTGAGCCTGTCCTGCCCTCCTTGCTTGCCATGGAGCATGTGCTGAGCCCCACCTCCTCCTTCCTCAGGGATCTGGAAATTAAGCACCTCCTCCCACCCCACAGCCTAGAAGATGGATTCGGCCTTCCCCACAGCGGTGCGGCATAAAGCAGCCCCCTTCTGGCCCTGCTAGCTGCACCTCTTCAAAGAGGCTCCTGCCTCCAGCACCCTCCCCGCCACACACAGCACACGGCCATGCCCTGATAGTCTCCCTAGGGCCCCTCCTTCCAGTTAAGGGAGCACCTTCCCAGCCTTCTCCTGCTAACAGCTCCCACCGGGATGTTCTCTCCCTGGGCTTCCAAGACATCTTGCTCCCCTCCTTCTCCCTGGTCCCCACTGGGGGCTCCTCCCACCCCTGCAGGATGGAGTTCTCAGGGCTGTCACTGGGCCTCTTCCCACACAGCACACTCTCTGGGTGGCCTTGTCCTGGGCCTCCAGCTCCAGACCCAAAATGGAAATGCCTCCTGGGCATCTGTCCTTGTGTGTCCCTCACACAAGCTCATCAGGTTCAAAACCAGCTTCTCTCACCCAGTCCTCTGCCTTCTGCTGGGTGTCTCACCACCTACCCAGTTACCAAAACCTCCGCTAAAATCACCCTCACCCCCCACTCCTGTGCCACTGGTCAAGCCAGACGACTCTACCACAGCCATCTCTAGACTCTGTGACCCCTGTCCTCAGGCCATGCCCTCTGCCGGGCTTCCTTATCATGGCCACCTCTAGCCACACCAATCTTGCCTTGTGCTCTCACACCTCCACACCTGCTTGGTAAGCTCTTCCTGGAAGTCTGAACTCAAAGACCTTCTTTGTCCTCATCCCCCACCCTCACTGTGGGGCCGGATGTCCCTTTCTAGGACTCCATGGGATCAGCTGTTGGAAAGTTCCTCCCTCAGCCTCATCATCTTTTGCTTGTCTGTATCCCTCGCATGCCCGGGAGCATGGGTGCTGTCTGAGGGACCAGTGCCCATGTGCTTTGTGCACAAGGGCCCCCAGGTCTGCTCGTTAAACAGCTGGGTGACAGAATGACGCTAGGGCAGGGTAAAGTCCAACCTAGAGGCCACATGGGGGCATGGGAGCCAGTGCTGTGAGAGATGCCCCATGACTGCAAATGGAAGGGACTCCAGTGTACGTGTGCCTATGACCATATGGCTACAGCCCGGCTGTTACTTCAAAGAAGGCAGCTCCATGTGTCACCCACTCATGATCTCTGTTGGCACCTTCAGTAGGGACTCCAGGCCCAGCAAGAGCTGCTGGGCCCTGCTGCTACTGTGAGATTCCACCTGTTCCCCCAAGGCTCCTATCACCTGGAGGCCCGGAATGAGAAGGGTGCCTCCCCAGCCAGCATCCCACTGGCGGCCACTGCAGAGTGGGGCCCAGCCGACATTGCCTCGTGCCTGTCTGGTGTGACCAGTCTGCCTGTCTGCCCCTGAGACTAGTCAATGCTCCTCTTAAAGAGATGTGGACATTTCACCTGTGCCAAGGCATGGCATTTGAGATGAAGAAACCAGTTAAACCATCTAAAGAACCTACAGCCACCTAGGGGTGGGAAGGATCCTAAGAGGCCTCCCCTGCCCCACCCTGCATGTCCCTTTTGTAGACCCCTCCCCCTTTGTAATTTTCGGAGCCTCTGTCATCCCATCTGTACTCCATGGGGATAGCAACCAGACCTATCTGGTTCCTGATGTACCCCAACTCCCTGCACAGAGTGGAACACGATGGACGCCAGTAAACACGTACGTTTAGAGTGAGTGAAAACATTTTTGATGGGGAGACGAGGAACAAGGGGATATCTAATGCCACTGAGCAAGAGTTGACCTGAGCTAGGATCCAGTGCCTTCATTTTACAAATGCAACAGCCGAGGCCGGGGAAGTGGCAACGGTAAGAATGGCTTCCAGCGGCCAGGTGGCTTAGCCCCTCACAGGCTGCTTCATTTCTTCTCCTCTCAGCCCTATGAAGCACATAAAATTAATACTCTTTGGCATAGATAAGAAAATTGTCTCAGTGGTTAAAAAACTTGCCCAAGGTTACCTGGTGTACCAGGCAGGATTAGAGTTCCGTCTGTTTCCCTGAGGTAAGGGAAAGGATCTGAGTACCCTGAGGGCCAGGAAACACTTGGGGGAGGTGGTGACTTGCCTTGTTTCCCATCTGGGCAGCCACGACGAAAGACCAGAGTGCCCGACCTGGTTCCCAGCCCTCAGCGCTCCCACCCAAGCCCCGGATGTCGGAGGTAGAAAGCAGGGAACTACGCCCCCCCGTTTCTTCTCAAGGGAAGTTGTACCAGAGCCACTGGTCTCAAGTTCAGGTACAGCAGAAGGTGTGTGTGTCTCAGGTCTGAAAACTGGGTCTGAAATGGAGAGGTGAGCAGGATGCCACCCCGCCCGCCACTAACACACACACCCCGGGAGCCCCTTCTCAGCTGATCCGTCTAAGCCGAGCTTGTCCCGGGCCACTCTTCCAGGGAAATGGCCCGGTAGGGGCAGAAGCTGGACGGAGGGGCTGTCGGCACATCCAGGACCACTGACGCACAGCTTGAATCAGCGTGCTACCGCCGTCCTGCTGGGAACCGCGCCGCGCACACCAATTGGGCCGGAGGCGGAGACCGGTTGGCTCCTGAGCTCCTGAGCGCACCAGGCAGGGCGGGGAGCCCGGGAAGGAGGAGGGAGGGGCCGGCAGCGGGGGGGGGGGGGGGGGCAGCCTGGGCCCCAGCCCCAGCCTGGACAAGGCCGAGCCCTCTCGGCCCCACCCCGCGGGAGCCCTGCCTGGGGGGAGGGGGAGGCGACGCCCCAAACCCTCCCCTCCCCCCGCAAGGCCCGTGCCTGTTGGGGACCCTCCACGTGACTTGGCGATGCAGAATGGTTATGACCTTCAGCGTGTGTCTGTGAATGCAAGGGTCCCAGCAACAGTGCGGGTTTGCACCCGGCCCTGCCTGTGGGTGCGGGGACGTGTGGGTGTGTGGACATGTGTGGGTGTGTTCGGGAGGGTGCCCAGCGACATGTGACAAAGACTCTGTCGTCTCTGGGAGATGGTGAAGGGGCCCGCGGGCTGGCGCTTTGTCTGGCTGTCTGCAGAGTGACGGTTCGCGCAGCGGCAGCAGGAGCCAGTGCGGTGCAGGATGCAGGGGCGCCAGGGTGGCCGGGGGCGCGCGCGCCTGTGCCAGGGTGAGTGCACTGCGGCGGCGCCGGGGGGCTGCGCGGCGGGTCCGCGCCGGCCCGGGCCTCGGGCGTGACCAGGAGCCACCCGTGGGCCCTGCAGTGGCCGCGATTCCGGGTGACCTCGGGAGCCGGCCTGGGCCCCGGTGGATCCCCGCGAGCCCCTCCACGTCCGCTCTCCACGTGCGTGTCCACGGTGCGCGTTCTCGTTGGCTCGCACCCCCCTGCCTGTCACTGCTGCTACTGCCGCTGCTGCCGCCGCCGCCGCCACCGCGCCGCGGAAAAGGTACCGGGAACCGAGTGAGCCAGGGCCGCGGGCCCGAGCGCCATGGGCCGGAAGGCGTGCGGAGGGCGGCTGGTCAGCCCCGGGCCTCACCCCCGCAAGAGAGCCGCCTGGAGTCGGCAGGGGCCGGCCGGGCCCACGGGGAGGCCGGCCCGCGCCCCCTGAGCTGCGGACACCAGGTGAGGGGGCCGCGGGGCACAGACTGGGGGTTGGCCAGGGAGGGGCAAGGGGCCACGGGAGGGGTTGGGGAGGGGCACCTTAGCAGGCGGGGGAGGGGATGGCGCCGAAGGGATGCCAGAGATTCCAGGGGACACGGGGAAAGGAAGTTCCGGGACCCTCCCTGCTCTCATGGCCACCTCCGCTTCCTGCCTCAAGCCTCACCTTGTACCCAGAGCCCGGACTCCCCCTAACTGCTTGGGAAATGTGACCTTTACTCTGGGGGCCCTGGCCCTGCAGGCTCCAGCCCTCTCTCAGCCTTGGGGGACCCCTTGGGCCTCTGACCCTGACCCCACCACCAGGCCAGGCTCTTGAAGCTGGCCCCTGAGACTGGGTCTTGGGGCAAGTGGGCACCTGTGCCAGACCCACCTGTGCCTGGGCTGTGACCCTTCCCTACAGGGCGCTCACCATGGCCCCGCCGCTCCTGCTGCTGCTGCTGGCCAGTGGAGCGGCCGCCTGCCCACTGCCCTGCGTCTGCCAGAACCTGTCCGAGTCGCTTAGCACCCTCTGTGCCCACCGAGGCCTGCTGTTTGTGCCACCCAACGTGGACCGGCGCACAGTGGAGCTGCGGCTGGCTGACAACTTCATCCAGGCCTTAGGGCCGCCAGACTTCCGCAACATGACGGGGCTGGTGGACCTGACACTGTCCCGCAATGCCATCACCCGCATCGGGGCCCGTGCCTTCGGGGACCTGGAGAGCCTGCGCTCCCTGCACCTGGATGCCAACAGGCTGGTGGAGCTGGGCACTGGCAGCCTGCGGGGCCCCGTCAACCTGCAGCACCTCATTCTCAGCGGCAACCAGCTGGGCCGCATTGCGCCGGGGGCCTTCGACGACTTCCTGGACAGCTTGGAGGACCTGGACCTGTCCTACAACAACCTGCGGCAGGTGCCCTGGGCCGGCATCGGCGCCATGCCTGCCCTGCACACCCTCAACCTGGACCACAACCTCATCGACGCATTGCCCCCGGGCGCCTTTGCCCAACTCGGCCAGCTCTCCCGCCTCGACCTCACCTCCAACCGCTTGGCCACGCTGGCGCCCGACCCGCTCTTCTCCCGGGGGCGCAACGCCGAGGCCTCGCCTGCCCCGCTGGTGCTGAGCTTCAGTGGGAACCCCCTGCACTGCAACTGCGAACTGCTGTGGCTGCGGCGGCTCGCCCGGCCCGATGACCTGGAGACCTGCGCCTCCCCGCCCAGCCTGGCCGGTCGCTACTTCTGGACGGTGCCTGAGGGCGAGTTCTCCTGTGAGCCGCCCCTCATTGCCCGCCACACGCAGCGCCTCTGGGTGCTGGAGGGCCAGCGGGCCACACTGCGGTGCCGGGCCCTCGGTGACCCTGCGCCCACCATGCACTGGGTCGGCCCTGACGACCGGCTGGTCGGCAACTCCTCCCGAGCCCGGGCTTTTCCCAACGGGACCCTGGAGATTGGGGTGACGGGTTCCGCGGACGCGGGGGGCTACACCTGCATTGCCACCAACCCTGCTGGCGAGGCCACAGCGCGGGTAGAATTACGAGTGCTGGCCTTGCCCCACGGAGGGAACGGCAGTACCGAGGGGGCCCGCCCGGGGCCCTCGGACATCGCCGCCTCAGCCCGCACTGCTGCCGAGGGAGAGGGGACGCTGGAGTCTGAGCCAGCCGTGCAGGTGACGGAGGTGACCGCCACCTCAGGGCTAGTGAGCTGGGGGCCAGGGCGGCCGGCGGACCCTGTGTGGATGTTCCAAATCCAGTACAACAGCAGCGAGGACGACACCCTCATGTACCGGTGAGGAGGTGCTTCATAGTCCGTGGCCCCCAGCGTCACCCCCAGCCGCCCTCCTCTGAACCCTGCCCCACCCCTCGGGCTTGGCTACCTCTCCTGCTCCTTCTGTCTCTGCGGGGCTTCCACACACCCCTCCTCAGCTTCTGAGCAGCCTGGGCTGAGTGGGGGCTGCAGGGGGAGGGGAGGGGGAGGCCTCAGATGTGGCAGAGCGGGTGAGGCCTCGGGTATTGGCGGCCGTCTGCATTTAAGCTCGTGGGCTTGGCCTGCACACGCGTGTTGTTTGTCTGGCGTGTAATTCTCCACCGCCTCGAGGCCAGCCCTGGGCCCGGGTGTCAACGTGCACACCTCTCCGGCCCCTGACAACCAGCTCCAGGGCCACACGCGCCTGTCCTGTTTTCTCTGCCTTCTTCAGTGAACACACAGGCCCGTGTGGTCCTGGGGAAGGGGGTGTTCAGAGCTGGGACCTGGGGGCACATGGTGAGGCTGGTGGGGGGTGGGCTGGGGCCTGGGCCCCCTTGCCTGCACTCTGACTGCCTGCCCTTGCCCGCAGGATCGTCCCAGCCTCCAGCCACCACTTCCT